TACATCAATGGAAAGCTTATTTATTCAGCTTTCAGATGATGTATAAATCTCAATTTCGAGAAATTGACCCTTATGACTGGTTTTGTGGTCCAGGGAATGTGAATATGGGTCTGCCCGGTAAAGGCTGGAATACACTACACAACTTTTAAAAATCTGAACAGATTTTAAAATGCTAGACTCGATTTTCCAACCAAGTCGAGTCTGGGGTGTGCGATATACAGTATATCTTCTGCGATAATATGGTAAGTGTTGTTGTAATGATGTGTGTTCTGACATTATCAAGCAGGCTATATCACCAAATCACACACAGAGTGCACGCACGTGATTTATTAGTCTATTAAAACTCAAAATTCAAGACAACAAAAATGCTTCTGTATGCTTTTTTAAAAATATAATTTAATATAGTTAACTTAATCTAAATCACACAAAGAGTACCGTTTTCTGCATGAACACATTTAATGATAATTTTATACAAGTTCAGTAAAGCAATAAATGACTTACATTTTAGACATAATATTGCTCGTTTTTGCTCAATTTTGCTAACGAAAATTGTTCCAAACAAAGATCACAGTACTGTTTTGAGTCTCTGAGCAATGGACGGTGTTTACTTATTGAAGGAATCAGCTTTTTGAACTAATCAGTTGAATAAATGATTCAGTGATTCACTTATTAACACAGTCAAATGTCGTTTGAATGAATCGGCTGAATCTCAATGACTCACTCATAAACAGTCACTTGCTGCCACCTACCGGTATTATTTCACATTTCGACAAATTTTTGCACGTTTGAAATTATTTCAAATATCAGTATATGTTAAAAACAAAACATTAGCATCTGTAACTGCAGTTTAAATGCATCTATGACCCCTCTGAGATACATAAACTGTGTAAATACATCTAAATGCTATTTCAAATGCAGATTCTAGAAATGTTTTCTTATGTTGGAATGAAAGACACTAAGTACCAGATAAAGTGCTTCTTATTCTTACCCAAAAATACAAAATGGAAGAAAGAGTTAAAACAGACATAATATTGCTTGTTTTTGCTCAATTTTGCTAACGAAAATTGTTCCAAACAAAGATCACAGTACTGTTTTGAGTCTCTGAGCAATGGACGGTGTTTACTTATTGAAGGAATCAGCTTTTTGAACTAATCAGTTGAATAAATGATTCAGTGATTCACTTATTAACACAGTCAAATGTCGTTTGAATGAATCGGCTGAATCTCAATGACTCACTCATAAACAGTCACTTGCTGCCACCTACCGGTATTATTTCACATTTCGACAAATTTTTGCACGTTTGAAATTATTTCAAATATCAGTATATGTTAAAAACAAAACATTAGCATCTGTAACTGCAGTTTAAATGCATCTATGACCCCTCTGAGATACATAAACTGTGTAAATACATCTAAATGCTATTTCAAATGCAGATTCTAGAAATGTTTTCTTATGTTGGAATGAAAGCCACTAAGTACCAGACAAAGTGCTACTTATTCTTACCCAAAAATACAAAATGGAAGAAAGAGTTAAAACTGAACACAATCTTGCTACTCAAGCTGTGTATGAATTTTTTTTATATATATTTGTTTGCTTCTTTTCCATTTTGCATTTACTTGTACTTTTACTTTCAATACTTAAGTACGTTTAAGATAAAAAAAACCTTTCATACTTCAGTACAATACATATCACATACACTCTTAAAAATAAAGGTGCTTCAAAAGGTTCTTCACAGCGATGCCATAGAAGAACCATTTTTGGTTCCACAAAGATCCATTCAAAGGTTCTTTAAAGAACCATCTCTTTCTTACCTTTTTGTAATCTGAAGAACCTTTTTTCACCACAAAGAACCTTTGTGAAACAGAAAGGTTCTTCAGATGTTAAAGGTTCTTTATGGAACCATTTAGACAAAAAGGTTATTCTATGGCATCGTGAAGCACCTTTATTTTTAAGAGTGTACTTTAAGACTTTTACTCAAGTAATATTCTACATATAGACTTCAACTTCTACCAAAGTCATTTTATGGTAAGATATCTGTACTTTTACTTGAGTATGGCTTTCAGGTACTTTATACACCACTGATAAAAACTGTGTGTTCTAAAATCATCTGAAAATAACAAACATGTTTGATATTCTCCGACTGGATGAAATCATAGTTTGAAGCTAATACATCTGAGTCTGTGGCCATCATAAACTACATGTTTTTGTATGAAATCCGTCAGCTCAAATCTGCAAACTGGTTCTGACTTTTGGCAACTAGTGTCAACTTCTCTAGAAAGTAAATCGGCGGAAAATCAGGGCAAAAGTCGTGTAGTGTATTCCAGCCTTAAGTAGAGATAAGCAGTGATGAGAAGTAACTGATTGCATGTTATTTAGATTACGTAATCAGATTCCAAATATTAAGTACTCGTAATTAGATTATATTAAATTTTTTTAAATACTCATAATCAGTGTTGGGGAGTAGCTAGCTACAAGTAGCGACGCTACTAACGTAACTACATTTTCAGTAGCTTTACAGTAGCGACGCTACTTTTAAAACAGTGTAGCTTTTCCTGTAGCTAACTACTTTTTCCAGCAAGTAGCGATGTAGCGCGACCAAATGCTACATTCTGTTTTGCGTTCTGACGAGTCACGAGCCTGTAATGCATTGAAGCAGCGCACGCAACGTCTTCTTCTGACTAGATCACAAACTAAATTTAATCATTACCGCCATCTATTGTGATATCACGCATCGTGCGGCTTTACAGTCTGTCCACCGACAAGAGATCATCTGACGATTTTGCAAAGGATGTACAGGAGTGGATATTTCACATGAATCAACTGTAATTTACGCAAAACAAAGATTAAAATTTGGTCTACGTCGAAGACTTAAAGGGGTCATATGATGCTATGTCAATTTTTCCTTTCTCTTTGGAGTGTTACAAGCTCTTGGTGCATAAAGAAGACCTGTAAAGTTGCAAAGACTAAAGTCTCAAATCCAAAGAGATATCTACTTTTAAAACAGTGTAGCTTTTCCTGTAGCTAACTACTTTTTCCAGCAAGTAGCGATGTAGCGCGACCAAATGCTACATTCTGTTTTGCGTTCTGACGAGTCACGAGCCTGTAATGCATTGAAGCAGCGCACGCAACGTCTTCTTCTGACTAGATCACAAACTAAATTTGATCATTACCGCCATCTATTGTGATATCACGCATCGTGCGGCTTTACAGTCTGTCCACTGACAAGAGATCATCTGACGATTTTGCAAAGGATGTACAGGAGTGGATATTTCACATGAATCAACTGTAATTTACGCAAAACAAAGATTAAAATTTGGTCTACGTCGAAGACTTAAAGGGGTCATATGATGCTATGTCAATTTTTCCTTTCTCTTTGGAGTGTTACAAGCTCTTGGTGCATAAAGAAGACCTGTAAAGTTGCAAAGACTAAAGTCTCAAATCCAAAGAGATATTCTTTATAAAAGTTAAGAGTCAACCACGCCTACCTAAAACGTCTCGTTCTAACACGCCCCCACATATCTACGTCACTATCTGGGAAGATTTGCATAATGCCGCCCAAATGTTCACGCAAAGAAAGAAGGCGTAACTTTTATTCTCGCTGTAGTATTGTTGTTGCCGCCGGCATGTCGTGAAGGCGTTGTGTGCCTCGTTGTGAAAGCGACACTACTTTGTTTGACCTTCCAAAAGAGGACGATATCGCTTCGTCATGCCTGGAGCTGATCTGTGCTGGTCGCAGAGGAAATACTTCAACTTCGCGCTGTCGATCGCCGGATCGGCTTTCACCGTGGACGAAGCGGAGTCCAGCCCGGGCGGTGTAACCAAAACAAAATAAGCAGAGGGCAAACGTGGAGCAACGATGAGGTAAAGTGCCTTTTATGAGCTCCTTGTGAGTTTGCAGGTGGTGAAAATAAAATTATATGTACATATAGTACGCAAGAATAAGCGCGCTTAGTCCAGCAGACGGCATTAGGTGTGTTCGACTTAAAGGGGCGCTGAGCAGACTGATCGGTTAATGGGTGCTTTGATATCATACACCCGCAGCTCCGCTTTAAATCTAACACACCTTTTGTTTGGGGTGTTCGGTGAGTATATATACATCATTCAAGCCGAAAAATCAGGTTGTGAACACATCACTATGCCTTTAGGTTCGGTGTCTTTAGGTTTGCTGTCAAAAACGTCAACGTGAACGCTAAGCGGACCAGGACCAAATGTATAATTTTCCTTTTTGGTCCAGACCAAATGAACCAAACAAACCAACCTACAAGTGTGAACACACCCTTATTTACATAAGGGTGTGTTTACATAAACCTTATTTACGTAATGCAGGGATTTCCAAATTATAATTTTTTTTGTCATCTGAACCTCTTTCACCTATTATATTTACTTGAAGTACCCCTGAGATTTTAAGGTAATAAGTTAATAATTAAGTAACATACTTGCATGTTCATTGTTCTCTGGCATTGGTTAATGGCCACATGACATGCAGGTAAACAAATAAATGTAAAAAAAAATGTTTTTTTTTTTAGTAAGTGTTTTATTTTGATTTATGTTATTTTAAAATGATTTTGAAATTTTTTGTCATGTAATTTGGAATCAGTAATGGACTAAAATGTATAAGTAATCTACCCAGCACTGGAGATAAGAGGGTGTTTTCAGTTCATTCTCTATTGGAGCTGAGTGGCGGTTCTCACACAGGGGATTGTGGGAATGGCAGTGAAGGAGAGTAGTAAGTTAATAATTAAGTAACATACTTGCATGTTCACTGTTCTCTGGCATTGGTTAATGGTCACATGACATGCAGGTAAACAAATAAATGTAAAAAAAATGTTTTTTTTTTAGTAAGTGTTTTATTTTGATTTATGTTATTTTAAAATGATTTTGAAATTTTTTGTCATGTAATTTGGAATCAGTAATGGACTAAAATGTATAAGTAATCTACCCAGCACTGGAGATAAGAGGGTGTTTTCAGTTCATTCTCTATTGGAGCTGAGTGGCGGTTCTCACACAGGGGATTGTGGGAATGGCAGTGAAGGAGAGTGGTGACAGTCAAAAATGTGAGAAATGTTCAACTTTATGCAAATGAGAGGCGAAAAACTGGTGGCAGCCAGTCAATACTGTGAAGGCAGTGAGGTTTCTCATAAGCATTTCACAGGTTTGTCATGAGCAATCACATAATTACGTTGCATACTACTATATTCAATTCAGATCTCAAGTTTATGACTATGCTTTTTTTCCACATTAGAGGATCCACAAGGTAACAGTCTTGCTCTAGCAAGAACCACTAATAAAATGCACTCACCTGGTCCTCAAAAGAAAGTGCTTGTCCCACATCTCGAGGGAAGCCATCTATAACTATACCGCTGGCCTCTGGAATCTTCATGATCTTCTGCTTGATCTCAGTTATGGTTGTTTCCTAATGGGCATGAATAACATATACAGGTCAAAATATAAGATATATAACATAAGATGTAACATTACACCCAAATGCACATCATTAGTAAGAACAAACTAAGAAGAAACAGCTATTTCAATGAAAAAACTATCAAAAGTGAGCTGTCACAGAAAATTCTGAGAATGTCAGTTTACTGTATGTTTTTTCACTGAAAATTGTATGACTTCTTTTTTACTTCCAAAATCCATAAATTGAACAGTATTTTACCATTAAATTACATGAAATGTCCCATTAGATCTATTCGTTTTTTACAGTAGTAAATTAATTTAACCGTTAACCAGTTAATAGGTCTTTACCATAGCATTTTTACAGTTATTTGATGCTACAATTATGATCACAATTATGAAATCAGCACATACAAGTCATCCTCTAATTGCTGTACTTCAATAGCAGTTGATTGGTTATTTCAATAGCAGACATGGTTGCTCTTTTAACAAGCAGCTTTCCAAATACAGGAAACTCATTTCTATAGCAGTTTGGTCCTCATAGATCAAGTACCTGCAGAGAAAATGTGCTTTGTAATTCTGAGCTATTTTAAACAGCATCCTGAATCAGTTTGGATGAAAATCTGTAAAAATTATATCTCAGATAAGTTGGGCTTCAAGGGCAATCATTCCATAATTCACAAGAGTATTTTAGAACATTCCCTGAATTTCTTTAAAACCACTTAAACCAAAATCACGTAAAAAAATTTTATTCTTCATTTGCAAAGCCTTGCTTATATGGTATCAGCCCATATATGGTATCATTTGAAAGCTTAGTGTGTCTTCTTTACAATACCATTACTTTTGGTTTTATGATACATAAAGCAGTAAAATGAAGCTTAGAAATGTATTTGTCCCACACACGAATTTCCGCCTAATGATTGCGAAAAAATTTTCAGAAGAATGTGTATTTTTTATATTTTTCACAAAACAGTCAAGTCATATATCAAAAGAAAGCTCTTATTTTCAGGAATTTGTAGTTTATTTGATTGTGTGACAATCACAGATCGAATGACCTTCAATAGAATTGCGATGTGAAATTTGATACCTTCTGAGTTAACATTCAGATGCGTCACATTCCTACTTGCACGATTGCTTCAGTCAGACGCAAACAGTCAAAAACTCTATATTATCTTTTAGATTAGGATCTCTTCTTTCAAACGAAACCATTTTCACGTTTCTGTGTGCTCGCATTGGTGAGAAATCCACTGTTTGGTCGCAGAAGCACACCAGAAGCGCACCAGAGAAAAAAAAGTGGCTCTTTTGGCAAACACGCGCTCTCCAAATCATAGCAGCTCCGGCCAGCGGCTCTTATGTTCTACAACCCTGGGCTACTATGGGCTGCTCAGTGGGCGGCAATAGGTCAGATTACACGCCACTCAAGCGTGAAATTTGACACCTCTGCATCAATAGACAGGAGGCAGGCAAGATGCTGATGCAGGGGGACTAAATTTATGCACATGAATGGAATGATATAAAGCTGGAGGATGTGGATTCTGTTTTAGATTGTAATAAACCACATGGATTTTACAATTTATAGAGTCTTGTGTCTCCTGAAAGAAAAAAACTAATTGTATAAAACACAAAATTTGATATTTGGTATAATTCGCTTATGCCATTTTGCATATTTCGACTTAGACAAACATAAAAATGAAACATAATTCAGTCAATAATCAAGAAAAGTGCTATGGCACATAGTAAAATAGGATTCTGGGGGTAATATGCTTTATAAAACCTGTTTTTGCAAAGGAAGATCACAAAGACACTTTTAGACGCAAAAAAGGGACAATTTTACGCCCTTCGGTTATAATTCAATAACTCCTGTTTAGAAGCTGTTATTTGAAAGATTATTTTTTTCTGGCACATCTTGGCACCTAGTGGAATCAAACAATATAAGTTGCAGAGAGTTGGAGCAAACAGAACCTGAATAACAAACTTTCAAAAAACTATTTCTGAAAAAATATCTAAAAGCACCTTTGTTTTTTTTTTAGAGTTTATTGTAATATTTAAAACATATATAATGCTATTTATGAAGAATTACAACCATATTTTGTAGTTCAAATGGTTTTCTATACAATGACACCATTTACTTTTTCATTTCCTCCATTGTATATGTGTAGGGTAAATATTTGAATTTGGGTATGTCAAATTTAGGCGAAAATACACAAAAACGCCCCAGAGCTTATTAAGCATCTGTCTGACAAAGATCAATTATTTTTTAATATATATATATATTTCTAATGGAAGAGGTAATGAACTTTACAATTAAACTCTATAATTAAAAACCCACACTCATCAACTAAGGTGACAGTCCATATGTGATTTCTGGTGTAATTGAGGAGTGCAGCAGCATTTTTGCAGGGGCAATGTTCCCAACCGCTGGAGGGAGAATATATATTCGAGCGTAGCAAATCTAATGATGTGGATGGCATCATTTACGAAGGAGATCTAGCGTCAGTACCAGATTGCTCTAAAAATAACTCTTACATCAGGCATAATTTATTGCCCAGTATGTCATTTGTATGACCAAATGCTCTTTTACTGTTTTTACCACTATCTGAAGCGATCTAGTGCTTAGTGCCACTGTTTTAATGTAAAGGCACATAGTTTGCCATGGAAATAAACACATCTAGTGAAATGCTTTAAAATAGTCATGTCATTCAATATTTTATTATTGAATTTTCGACCATGATCCACCTTTTCTGACATTTAGAATTAAAAATGAAACTTGAAATTAAAAAATTTGGTATTTTGAAAAATGTCTTTGAGTTATTTGTTCATATAATGAAGGTCAGTGCTGTTCACTGCTATTTTGGACCGCACTGACTATCAATGTATGGGCAAAAAGAGTAGGAGCTCCAAAAAGTTTCATTTATTTCACAAGAAAGCAGTTGGACTGGCAACGTCTTCTATTCGGCCTGTTGTGCACATGAATCAGCAATCGACATTCGAGTGCATGATGCGAGTCTGTGCACCATCAAAGGTAAACACACAGTATATTTGCTGCTTTGATCCACCATGTACACAAATTGCTCTGAATGTTTAAATTAATCCATAACTGGTCTATAACACAATGATGGCATAGAGTTGGGGTTTCTACTCAAAAGATCAAGACAAATTTATTTCTTTAAACGTGAAACCTTTAAATGGATTATATTACACACTTTACACGTATAGTTTTAGTCAAGCGTGTTCCAAAACAATAAAATTGTTTAGGATGACCAGTTTCCACCTTCAACTTAATTCAAATTAAACTAGGTGAAAATTAGATTTTTGTGTGACAAGCTAATAACTGATATGAAACATTTTCTAAATATTATTTTTAAGTTTTATTTATATGACCTTAAATGAACCTTAACGTTAGGGAAACATTCTCCAAAGGGAACATTCTATTTACATAAAAAAAGGTTCCTGGCTAACTGACAGAGAATGTTCGTGTCACACTACAGTGTTGAATGCACATGTACAAAGATGAAGATGAAGGTTAACAGTCTTTAATAATCCACACACAGGTAAATTCCACACAAGGGAGGCTGGTAACACACGTATACACCGGTGTATAAGACCCGACAAACACTAACTGAACAGACAGGAACTTAAATACATAGGCAAATGAAGATAATTAACAAGACACACCTGAACATAATGACATAATCAGACATGAGGGAAAACTAGGTCAAGGAACACATGAGGGAAGAAAACAAACTAATAGTCCATGTGGTGTGACAGTTAGGATGTCTTTTCGGGGAACCAAACTTCAGCTAACTCAACTTTTTCAGATAAGCTAACATTGCTGGGATAGAATCTGGAAAAGTTGAGTTAGCTGAAGTTATGTCATTTTACAAAGGATAATTCAAAATATTTTCCATTATTTTGTCAGAAGATATAACATATCTGATATATTGTGTTTATCTGCTTTAGAAATATTCAGTAAGATATGGAGGTCAAGGAACACATGAGGGAAGAAAACAAACTAATAGTCCATGTGGTGTGACAATTAGGATGTCTTTTCGGGGAACCAAACTTCAGCTAACTCAACTTTTTCAGATAAGCTAACATTGCTGGGATAGAATCTGGAAAAGTTGAGTTAGCTGAAGTTATGTCATTTTACAAAGGATAATTCAAAATATTTTCCATTATTTTGTCAGAAGATATAACATATCTGATATATTGTGTTTATCTGCTTTAGAAATATTCAGTAAGATATGCTGGAAACACTTTTAAAATAAGGTTCCATTTATTAATATTAGGTAACTACGTTAGTTACCGTCAGTGTTGGGCAGTAACTAGTACTAGTAACTAGTTACAGTAATAATATTCCTTTTTGCCGTAATTAGTAGTGTAACTAATTACTATTAAGATTTCAGTAATAATATTACTGTTACCATCCATAAAACAGCCTCAACCCCTACTGATTTGAAATCAAACAATCCAATAATTCCTAGATTTATTTTCATAATTCTCACGACTCGCACAGGCAAATTAAGTCACCAGTGCATCAGGAAAGCTTGGAATATGGAAAAGCTTACATTCAGGGGATGGAAACACTGCACTGATTACACTGATTTTGTCAGGAGAAAAGACGATCTGAACACAGATGTGTAAGTTGTGGCATTACTTTACTCTGGTATTACATGGCTTGCCCACCCACATCCCTCTGATCCCGATATGAATTATATTACTATAATTAAAAATGTTATGAACTCATGTGTTTCTTTTGATAAAATACTTAATGAAATATAATCATATATGGGTAACAGAGAAATTATAGCTATGATTAATTTCAAGCTACACATGACAATTAATACAACACTTTCACTATCAATCACCATTGAGTGTTTTTAATAACTTCTGACTGCGATCCAATGTAGATTTTGGTCAAATGATGAGGCAGAAATATATTTTTAGTAACATTTTAGAAGAATTTTATGGGGAAGATACACAATTACAACTTCTGTGGGGCGTGAAGGAAAGTAATGTAACTAGTAGTGTAACTAATTATTACTGTTGCCAGATAGTAACAGGTAAAGTAATAATATTACTTTTGAAAGGAGTAACTAGTAATGAGCAATAAATTACATTTTTGGAGTAACGAGCCCAACACTGGTTACATTAACTTGCCATTAACTACATTAGTTACCAGCACGCATCACCATTAACATTAACAATTAAAAATACTCCTAAAGAATTTATTTATCATAGTTAATGTTAATTTCATTGTTTAAAAATGGACCTGAGCTAACACAAACTAACAATGAATATTTTTATTAAAGGAGACATATTATGCCCCTTTTTACAATATTTCTTTTTAAGTCTCTGGTGTCCCCAGAATGTGTCTGTGAAGTTTCAGCTCAAAATACTCAACAGATTTTATATTATATAAATTTAGTTTTTCATATAATATCATATAAAATGTTTCATATTATATCATTTTGAAAATGCCTACTTTGAGTGGAAGCAGAAACACGCTGTTTTTTTCGGGCCTGTCTCTTTAAATGCAAATGAGCTGCTGCTCCTCCTTTTCCAGAAAAGAGCTGCACCTTTACAGCTCTTATCTGCTAAAAACATCTGTTTTGGTTTTGATTATCATGTTTATCGCGCTGAAATCATGTGTTTTAAACCATATGAGTTGAAACTTCTGATATACGGTTTTCTGAAAGCACAAATCCGAAGCACACGGACAGAAAGCGGCTGTCACAGCATGTGAGTACTAAACTAAGTTCTCATTCACACACAAGTTTATGTTAAAAACACACATGAGTAACAAAAAACAGTCGGTTATGTCTGTGAAGGTAAACAGCTGGGAAATAAATTGCATGTTTATTTTAGATCTGCGTGGCAGCGGCAATATACATTAAATAAATCATTAAATCCACTGCTCTCTTGTCTCCTCTGATGCTGGGACTCTAAATAGTGTTCTGTGCTGGTATGTGCAGACAAAGGCAGAACAGTTAGTATGTTTTGCTCAAACTTTCACCATGGCATTAGAGCTGGTACACCGTTGTCACTTGCGAAAACACAATAACGGCGCCATGGGTGAAAACTTACAGATTAAGGGATGGTAATATTATAATGAGATCCCTTTGCCACGCCACCAAGGGAGCGAAATCAGACGTGCTCGTTTTCTCAGATGCTTGAAGAAAAAGGCTTCCCAAAACAAAGTTACTGGGTTCATCTTTTTCATGTTTCCTTGGTTGGTAGATGCACTGGGAACCTGATTATAGCACTTAAAACCTGAAAAAGTCAGATTTTCATGATATGTCACCTTTAACTAACATTAAGGAAGACTAATAAATACTGTAATAAATGTATTGCACATTGTTAATGTTAGTTAATGCACTAACTAATGCAGTATGTCAGATGATTCGGTTGCTTACTTTCAACAAAGTTTTGCACTAGTGAGGACATTTTGAGTTTTGAAAAAGCTTTCTCATGATACAACCCATATGTCTGATTTGTACAGGTGTATCTTATGACACTTCCTTTCACAGTCTGGGAAAATTCTCTAATCCAGGAAGTCATTGGTGGAAGGTGGCTTTATTTCCCTGACAGAAGCTCAACTAGCCCTGTGTCTCAGTACAATGCTGCATTTAATGCAGCTAAGGATTAAATGACGAGGGTTGGCCATTTCATCCTCAATAATCTTTGAAGATACACTGCCTCTTCTAAAAATGTACAAAGCATTTCTGGAGTTCTTCTGGGAATCAACACCCAGTAGGAGCTCTTATCTTCTGTTTCTCTTTCAAAAACCTCCTCGCTAAAATGTGGTGCCCTCATTTCCAGCGCCACACTTCTGTGCTCAGTTCTCAAATGGAAAGTTAATACGCAGGAAAGGGTGTGTGGGTATGTTGTTATAGGGACGGAAGTTAGGAAGTGGTCTTATTGTTAGGTCTGGTAATATATACAGACTGAAGAAATGCAGCAAGTCCTTGAGTTACTTTCACCAAACAGAGATTGTCACTTCAGTAACAGACACTTCAGTCGTAAAAAGTAAGAAATGAACTCAGTAAATAGCTAGTTTGGAGCCATGTTAAAAGATCTACAAGCTATTTCAACTGTTCAGGAAGTCACGTTACATTCAAATCCACATGAATGATAACCTTTAACCCTTACTTTGGATTCAAAATGTATTTAACAGTCCTCTTGAAATGTGTTTTATCTTTGATAAATATCTCAGCATTATTATACGTAAGTATACATATTTGTTGTAGTTTGATTTCCATGCAATACATCAGTCCACTGCAGTGGACACCATCTGTTAATGGATAAACTGGGTTGTTGACATGAATTCAAGCAGTTTCAGCAGCATCCTGTGGTGTGACATTAATTTGTCTAAAACTATTTTCAACAGCATTTTCCCAATTTGTCTATAATTATTCTACATACAACTTATAGGATCTCAGATTAATTTAAAGACTACACTGAATATTTGTACTTTGTAAATTTATTTGCAACACCACAGGAACATTTATTATGAATTAGTGAAGGCAAAAAAGTGATTAAAATGGTGAAAAACAGGATCTACTATATACACTTTGCCTTATGCAGATATTTAAACCAAAAATTTTGATTTAAAAAAAATCATGAATCATAGACATGGAAATGTCCAATCAGCACTACTTATGATTATTTCTAAGACTATTTAAAATAAAATAATGATGCAACTTTATATTTGACAATATTGTCCATTGTATATGGTTATAAGAATGTTGCCTAAGTACATACTGTACAGCAATGCATCAAATACCACATATACTGGTAGAATCTGTGCTATTCACACATACCACAATCTGTATTATTTACAATCAGGAAGATATCCTAATTTATTATAATAATTTTTGTAGGTAAATGGTTTAAAAAGGCCATATTATTTGGTTACTTACAAAATTGCCATTATCATACATTACATTACATAACAAGCCTTAAATGTATGATGTCTGCTACAGTAAAAAGATTTGCAACTCTCTTAAATCACATCATCTAATATGTTAATAATTATATTTGTATATATGTGTTGAATGAAGTAAAAATAAATGTTATGTGCATTTGATCACTGTCTTCACATAAACTTGCATTTGTGATTCTGAAAATGGGTCAGTCTTTGATGTGTTAAGGATAAATAGTAAGACTTCAAAAATAAGAATCAAACAAACTCAGTTATAAATATAACATTCTAGTTTTGACAGTTCAACATTTTCTATTTTGACCGTTGTTTGTGTGATGATTTCTAGTAAAACAAATTCTAGGTGTGTATGTGTGTGTGTGTGTGTGTGTGTTAAAGTCCTGCTATGTCCTATTTATTGACATATTTAATTACTGGCATGTGTTTTTGATCTTTATATTCTCTGACATTCTGACTTCATGAACATACCTGTGGTGCCAGTTCTCCATTGGTGATGATCCTAGCAATCAAACTCCATTTCCTGTTGCTGGTGGCGTTATGGATCATCTTCTTCCTGAGCAGCTCACCCACTGAGACATATTCAAAGCCGTAACGCTCAGCTATCTTCAGACACTGTGTACCTTTACCGCTGCCCGGGCCACCTGTTTGGGAAGATAGTGGGGAGACTTATGACCCCATACTGACTCACTCGCAGACACCCACATATATGCAGACACTCCAGAAAAGCATAATTTGAGAGTGCCATATGCAAGATGCTGTATTATTCAGACAAATAACACAATTGCATATTGCTTTTACATAACATTTCAGTAAAGAAGTTAATGTTGAGTAATTTTAGATAGCTCATTTATTTTTGCTCTGTCAGAGAAAACCATCTCCACTTGTTATGCTCCAGAATGAATCAGTGGTTTGAACAAATTGGTTGAGTGAATAATTCAATGACTCACTCATACAGACAGTCAATTGTTTTGCTCCTGAACAAAGTTTTAATGAACCTGCTGAATGAATAATTCAATGACTCACTCATACAGTCAGTCAGTTTTGTTCCTGAATGGAGTTTTAACGAATCTATTGAATGAATAATTCAATGACTCATAGACAGTTACTTATCGACCTATAGGCGAAACAATGTACCCTGCAGAAAGAGTCACTGAAAAATCCACACCACTAATATACCGACTGATGGTCTGTCTGTTCCAACACAAGACAATTGGAGTGAACAAAACAATAAGCAGCCTGAGTGCTGTTGGACTAAACATCAAGAAATTCTAGGACTAGAAATAATTGCTGTACAACAATAAATATGAATAAACATCACATACTAAAATATTCTAACTACCAATGCATATTATGGACTGAATGCCCAACAAACTACAGGCTATAAGTTTCAGCCACTGAAATACATATTAGTTGACCACTATAAGAAACAATACTAAAACACTGAACATTTTCATAAACAAAATAGAAAGCCGTGCAGTTTTGGGAAACATTTACTGAGCTACAGCTAATATCTCAATAAGATAATACTGCAAGTGGGTGGTCACTTGACTGATGGGATATGCACATTATTTGCTTGTTGGTTACATTCAGCACAGATTTTCCCTCGCAAATTACATCAGTCAACTTAAAGAGACATGCATGCTGTTCAGGGAAGTCTGATAAGGCAGGAGGGAAATGTACAACTATTAGATAGCTCTGTCTGAACTATAGCATCCCTAGAACTCAGCAGTCCTGTTTACAGCAGGTATCCATCTCAAATGCATCCCCAGTGAACGCCCCAGTGGTCTCTGATTTCGTGATAACATCATTTATTACATCAGTGTGTTACTGCATACAGAACAGGAAAGTCAATAGTGTTGCTCTTAAATATACCTTACTTGAATTTTCATTTAACCACAAACATAACCATTTGAAACGAATGCTCAGTTATTTTAGTCCAATACTGTACCTGTGGAATATTAGTTTACTAATATTAAAATTCTAATTTCATGTTAAGGCCAATATTAAAATTGTATATTATTTTGTTAAAATTAATAAATGAAAAAAAAAAAAAGAATTTAAGCATTTAAGCATAACGACATTTAAATAAAGTTCAACATGAAGTTTTCATTTTGAATTTTCAAAACTTTATTGTCTTTATCTTACTTTATTAACTGTAACTATAAGCGGGTGTTAAATAATGACAATGGTAATCTAAATGCAAAAATATAATAAGCATGCATGCATAATTAAATATTCTTAGCCAATATTGGAAATTGAATAGACAATTAATTTTTACATTTTTCTATCACTTTATTCATGATCACTGCACATAGCATAACTGAACCACATTTGTCTGATCAGATGGTCATCTTCTTTTAAAGTCACACATAATTAGTTTAAAAGTTTTGTTTTTAATAATAATAATAAACAAGTGAGTGGGAGTTACTTATGTTATTCTGTCATCGATTATTTTATCACACACTATAGAATCAAAAGTTTGGAATGTTTTTTAGTCTCTTATGTTCATGAAGGCTGCATTTATTTGATCAAAGATACAGTAAAAACAGTAATAATGTAAAATATTATAATAGTATTACAATTTAAAGTAACAGAATTACTGTAAAATAAATTTTAATACCACTTTTTCCAATACTCACCCGATACGATACTTTTATTTTTGGTACTTGCCGATACCGAGTACCGATACCAATATTTTCATTGCATTTGTACATTTTTTAAATATTGGGTACAGAAACCAAAAGAGTATGTATAATGTTAGTTGGTTAACTTCATTTATCAAATAGATACAGTCAAATCAAAATTTATTCAGACGTTTATTCGCTATAGTTTAGAAAATGGTAATAAAATATGACAAGAACAAATTCAGCTTGATAATGTCAGATAACTTTGATAGAAAGGTATGTAATGGATTACAATAAACCAAAAATTATTCATACAGCTGTCAATATTTACACAACTATCAATACTTTGTTGGGTGACCCTTAGCCTTAATGACAGCATATAGTCTCCTGGGCATGCTGTCAACCAGGTTCTTGCAAACCTGAACTTCAACTTCAAATTATTCAGACTCGGTCTGAATAATTTTTGGTCCCAAATTTGTATCAATTTTACTGGTAGTCCACTGTATGAAGAATTTTTGGGTATAATATATCACAGTATAGTTTATTTTGCTATCCTCACATAAATGAACTATAGTGTCCTACACCCACTAGTAAAAAAATATCAAAAATTATAAATGGTCTCTGAATAATGTTTGGTTTGACTGTATATCCTTCTGTTATTTTCACACTTAATTATGCCCATTAAAATGTATTTTACAAGTTTTTGTTACTTTCACTGTTCATTCTTTTTCTCTCTATGGTAGCCTACATCATCTTTAATTTAATAGCATTAGAGCTGCTCCATTGCAGCGGCTTAGTATACTGTAATCACGCGATTTGCTGTAATAATGCAGGGAACCACTCATTATAAATCTCCTAACTGTGACATTTTCATAAACAGAAGTCGCGTTTTTATTCATCTAAAACATGCAGCGATTTATTTTCCAAAGCCACTAATATTGTCACGAATTCGGTCCATGGACTTCCGTTTATTCACCACCAGAGGTCACCCTTTCCATTACATTGACTCTCGCACAACACAAACTGTTGCATAGCACCCCGGACTACATATCCCATCATTCTTTGCACGATTTGCACACTGCACTGATTGCACTCATTGCACACAGCTGTTTCTAATCACCTAACTCACTATATAACACCCACTCTAACCACCTTTCTCTGCGGAGTATTGTTTAGCCTGTACCCCTTTCCGAGTCTCCGTGTTTTCCTTGTTTTGCCTTGCCTGTTTTTGCGGTTTCTGATCTTTGCCTGTTTTCCTGGATTTCTCCCTCTCGTCTCGCCCCTGTGATTCTGTCTGCCGATCGGTGACCTACGCTAGCCCTAAAACTATTCTTGTGTTTTTGCCCGCCATAAACCTGTTTGCCATTGTTCGACCCTGCCTGTTATACCACGTCTCTTTAATAAAAGCTTGCAGATGGATCCACACGTCTCACGTCTCGTCAGCCCCGTTACACATATAATATAGAAACACTCATGAAGCAAGCAAAACATGCGCAACGCGCACACGTATTTGAACTGGTGCAGAATGAGAGGGACAAGTACAGTACAGCCTAGCACATTTCACACAGGCTGTTAGTGTCACTTTCGCCAGAAAGTCGTGTATGCTGAAGGGTGAAAATAAATGACGTTTATAGTGAATGCCCCTATAAATTGTCTTATATTTACGATTTAGTTTTAATCCAAATGATGCGTGCTAATGAGCAAACATCAATAAAGATCACACAACAGAAATGTGCACTCTCTCTCTCTCTCTCTCCCTCCCTCCCTCCCTACCATTAAGTAACTTGGGCATTGTTTTACTTACATCTTTTTGACATATCCGACCGAACTACAAACTTTCCAGTGATGTCTATGAGAAAGGGATATTCACTCGACAAGCTCGCACATCTGCGCTGCCGCACGCTCAATCCACTCAGCGTGCTTTGCTTACCAGCTGGCGCAAATCAGCTATACAGGCATTAATACTGAATGTTTTATATTCATTGCATACATATACTTCGTAGACATCTTTAATCTCTAATAACCCCACTCTGCTGTCTGTTGTCGGTATTTCTTTGTCTGAATATGGCACTTATCACATGCTGTGTGGTATCGGCGTTTGGTATCGGGGCATTTTAAGAGTACAAGTACGAGTACAGGAGCTCAGTATCGGTATCGGTGCATCCCTAACAGAAATCATCTGCCTATTTGGTGTTTCTTATTATTAGCATTATCAAAATTATAAATTTTGCTGGATTCTTTGACAAATAGAAAGTTCAAAAGCATTTATTTAAAATTAAATTAATTTTCTAAGATTACAATTTTCTATGACTTTTGATCAATTTAATGCATTTTTACCGAATGAAAGTATTGATTTCTTAATACTTGCAGGGAAAAAAATAAACATTTGAATGGCAGTGTATTTTCATACAAATTCCAACAACTGCATGTACACAAACACCAGCCTGTTTCTCTCCATTAGCCTGGTATCTGTGATGAAGTACCCAGTCATGGGCTTACCTATAATGAGGATGACTTTGGGTCTGGGTCTAGATGGGTCAAACACTTCATATTCCTCTATGAGCTCAGCTGTCTCAGACAAGTCTGAGTCACTCTCTATGGAAAACTGGTTGATGGGTGGGAGGCGCTCATATCTCCGATAGGGGAAATTGGGACTGTCTGGGAGAACTGTATGGAAGAATGCAAATAGTTAGTCATAAGAGCTTCTGATATCCTCAACAATATATTGCAAAAGGTTCACAGGAAATCCCATGATAGTATATCATTGGAAAAACAGGTTTTGATTAGATGACAAACTTACTATGTTTTACTGTAAAGGTACTTTGCATTCATTTGCCTTTTTGTATTGCCTCGAGAGGTGGGTAGAACAATGTTGCCCAGCACAAAGAAAGGAAAACCCCTACCGATGGTTGCCATGTTCTAACATCACCCAAATAATGAATAATGAGCCTGCTGTGCAATACACAAAACACAGCAGTGGCCAGTTCTAGTTTGTTTAGATGAATCCAGTTCTAGTTTGTTTGCATCACCTACAATTTGGAGTTGCATTGGCTGATGACAACACCTCCTACTCACCATTGCGGAAAAAAGATCGACGTGACTGCCCACCATTGAGAGGCGGTAACGACTTCTTCTCCTGTCCAACGAACGTGTCCCACCGAACTTTATCAGTCCCGCCGAGCTCCCTCACCTTCTTAAGGCAGGTCTCTAGGTAGTCTATGGGGTCATCCGGTCGGTAGTACATCAGACCAGTCAGCAGACTCTGAGAAACCAGTGACAAATCAGAGAGGTGTACTGTGTTTATCTTTTCACTGTAAGAACAGGGTAACATGCATTGTAAGTAGGCCTGTCGCAATAATCAATATATCGACTTATCGCGCAATATATGTCCATGACCTCAATCATTTTTGGTGACGCAATATATCGCACATTATATTTACTTAAAAAGTAATGTCACCATGTTTTGTACATTCCACTTGCGCCTGTGTCTTTTGCAGCTTCTCGTACATAACGTGATGTAGTCATGAGGTCCTAGTTCAAATTTAAAAAATGCTTCTACAAACAAAGTTTCATCTGCAGATATGGTCTTGTTTAGGGATCTGTGCCTTTGTGAATACGGACATCTGACTGCTGAGTAGTGATCGTGTTTTTCAGCAATAGTGTGCACCCTTAATTTACAGAGAAAAGAAGGTCAGGAAAAAAATCTGTAGATGGAAAAATCTCCATACAAGTTACTTGTGCATTTTTCTTTTTTCTTCTTGCTACTTTGCACTTTTTGTTAAAACATCTTTTATTTACTATTTATTCAGGTTTTTTAAGGTATCTAGTATTTTGATACCTGATTTCCATGATCTAAATATTCTTAAAAATGTAAAGTGTGTTGTCATTTGGAAGTGTGTAGGCCTTCTTGCATTATTATGCTGTTACATAAAAAAATGGCAATAATATCGCTTATCGCAATTATTTCTGGGGCAATATATCGCACAACACAAAGTTGTTATCGTGACAGGCCTAATTGAAAGGAATGTTTATTTTTTGTAAATGTTATTATTTATACAATTTTATACACATAAAGGTACAAAATATATCTTAAAAACTAAACTAATATTAAAAATGGTAGCCTATTATTTTATATTGAAATTATTCAAAAAAACGTGTATATATATACACACACACACACACACACACACACACACACTCACACACACACAGGTTTGTTTTTGTGAAAAGTGGGGACATCCTATAGGCGTAGTGGTTTTTATACTGTACAGACCGTATATTCTATTGCCCTTTACCAACCCTACCCCTAAACCTACCCCTCACAGGAGACTTTGTGCTATTTCAGATTTTCAATACACTCCATTCTGTGTGATTTATAAGCGTTTTGAAAAGTGGGGACATGGGGTAATGCCCTGAAAAGTCACCTTCTCCTTGTAATACCTATGTCATACCTCTGTCATTATACAAATTTATGTCCTCATTTGTCACAAAAACCCGCGCACACACACAGTCATTAGAATATAAATGAATTCAGCTATTAATGGGAAGCTGATATATCGCAGTGTGAAACCATTTAAAATTACTTTTAAGCTTTAACAGCATTTTGCTCATTATTTTATAATTGTTATGCATGATAATTTTATGACCCCCTTTGGCGACTACACATTGAAAACTTATAAAAATTCATTTTTTTACACAGCAGGGCAGTTTAAAATGAACTAGAGAAGGCAAAGGTGATTCAAATGGTGAAAAAAAAAATTGTGAAGCGTGACCAGCTCCTAAAATATACACTTTGCTATATATTTGATGTAAATACCCTAATGTACCCACATAATACGCCCATGGTTTTTACAACCAAAGTCGGCCCAAACTCTAAGCAAGAGGGAATTTTTGCCATGGCGCTCATAAATGCACCACTGACAGTTTAAAGAGAGGTACTGACTCCAAAATTAAATTGTTAACAAAACAATAGTAAAATAATAATAGGTGACTGAAAACAATAATTAAATACGCCTGTTATATCCTGTTATTTCTTATCAGACTTGACTGATAAGCATGTGTAGGCTTCTGACAGCACGCATTACTACCATAATAAACAACGATGGACAATCTCGCATTTCAGACACGATCGACATTTTCAGCTTTGTGCGTAAAAACGCGCACACTTGCGACTATAAGCACATACATAACCCTCGATGATTTCCATATAATCCAATCTGATGCAACACTCAACAACTCAGTTTGCATTATTTACAACACGCAGTACCCCACATACACGAACCTTTAAATGAATCATTACCTTTTTATTATGAATTAACTTTAATCATATTCATAAGCTTTTTTTCATAAACCTATATCGAACCAACAATGGTTTTCAGTACTGCTTCTCAGTAGTAATTAATATCAAATTCTTTCTATGCAAGTAACCTAACTTCTTCAAGCTATTCTTCATTCGTAACAGCTGATGTGGAAACATCTTTACACTGTAGAAAATGCTGGGTTAATAGCAAAAGTTCACACACGCAAATGCTCACCTCAAACAGTTGAGGTATCTCTCTCCTGGAGAGATATTCCTTCGCATCGTTGGTGTTCATATCTGTTTTTGGAAAACTATCGATCCTGTTGCGTTGAGTGTAGAATGTATCCTGTTGCAGCTTCCCGAAACCGTGATGTTGTTGCGATCTTAACGCATTCTCCAAGTGCCTAATAAACTAGGTGGATGAAGACAGCTACGCTCTCAGTAAACTGCTGTGCCTGTTACATGCTGCTTCCAAGCTCTCCCCTAGTCTTGGTCTTTTAGTATCTCTCTTCAGTGTTTGAAACTGCCAACACAGCGCGATACACCTGTACGCTGCCCGCGCGCTGATGGAGTGACTCAAGTGCGTGTGTTTGGCCAGCTGATGCGCGTCTGGAGTGCAGAGGAGGAAACGAGAGCATACTGTCTGTGTGCACATCTTAATCTTTTAAAAAAGTTTGTAGTAATAAGTCGTTTTGAATGTATGTTTAAATAACTAGTCATTTAAATTTTAATAATGCGAAGACAGCTACGCTCTCAGTAAACTGCTGTGCCTGTTACATGCTGCTTCCAAGCTCTCCTCTAGTCTTGGTCTTTTAGTATCTCTCTTCAGTGTTTGAAACTGCCAACACAGCGCGATACACCTGTACGCTGCCCGCGCGCTGATGGAGTGACTCAAGTGCGTGTGTTTGGCCAGCTGATGCGCGTCTGGAGTGCAGAGGAGGAAACGAGAGCATACTGTCTGTGTGCACATCTTAATCTTTTAAAAAAGTTTGTAGTAATAAGTCGTTTTGAATGTATGTTTAAATAACTAGTCATTTAAATTTTAATAATGCATATTTTACTGTATGCACTGTGTAATATATAATAATGAATCATTCATATTATATATATATATATATAATATAGCAAATGCATTTTACAATAATCGTATTATTATCTAATATATACATTATATTTATTAATATAAGCATATGGTAATACAAATATATTGCATTAATTAAAAACGTTCTTAAAATATTTTAATGAGTTATAATTAATGTATAAATATACATTATGTATTATATCAAACTTAAATGTAGATGTTATATGTAAAAATGATCAAATACATTATATTGTACAAAATATGAATGATTAACAACAGCAACAATAATAATGTTTTTATTTACATGATATAATTTCCTGATTTATGGTATTACTGCCACATGACAAGATAGCTTCATGCTTGTTGGTTACACCATCCCATGTATTGATCTGGCAGACAAAATGTCAGATATTAATGTTTTAAAATAAACTTTCATTGAATTGGTCAGTGAAGCTTTCAGTAGTAGCCTATATCCTCAGCTCAGCATACAGGTTTCTTTTTAAAATGTTTATTTTATTATTTCATGGCTGTGTTAATTACGATTTGTTATATATAAGCACGCATATACATGCATATACATACACTAACGACTGTGATGCCCCAAAAATACAGTACTGCCTAGGTAGGGAGCTAGCTAGGTTTTGAAACACAGCCTGTGTTACATTATGGTGGCCAGTTTGTTCTAAACATCACATGTGATCACATCAAATGTATTTCTTTGGGCATTTGGCTTTGTTTAATCAGTAGGCCTACTCATTATCTCGTCTCACAGTTTTCTGTTCAGATGACAAAAAAGCACAAAATTGTCATCTTACTGGCACATTTGTGAAGCTTTTGTAATAACTGAGAGCAAGCATACAATATCTTGTATGTTACATACATTGCAAGGGCTGCCACCTTTTGAGTTCAACTTGGACTGATAATTCCCATTGTCGTGAACGTCATGGTGGTACCTGTTTTTGTCATAAAACTATGTAAAATAACTGTTGCAGAGCTGCAAAACTATTAACTTTTTTTTTACAACAAGAATAGCAATGTACAGTGAGAGATTTGCAAGATTTACTAGTCGTTACTTTTATAAATGATTGCAACCGCATTTAAAAAATATATTGACATGAAAATTCAAAATGTTCTATTAGTCTGCATTTACAGTGCTTAATGAACATCTATTTTGATAAATTATATTTTTTCTCCCATTCGAAAATGAATCCTGCATTTTTATGAAGCATGAGGGATTTATATGTCACTCCCGAAACGTTGCTGGCCGTAGGAGCACGAGAAAACAAAACTTTTATTCAAAATCTGAACGGATTATATTTAGCCTAGGCAAATAGCCCTTCCTTTATAATCACTTAAAGGGGTCATATGATGCGATTTCAATTTTTCCTTTCTCTTTTGAGTGTTACAAGCTCTTGGTGCATAAAGAAGATCTGTAAAGTTGCAAAGACTAAAGTCTCAAATCCAAAGAGATATTCTTTATAAAAGTTAAGAGTCAGCCACACCTACCTAAAATGGCTCGTTCTAACACGCCCCCACATACCTACGTCACTATCTGGGAAGATTTGCATAAC